TTTTGGTTGTGAAAGCCGCCACCGGTGCAGAAAAACATAAAGTATAGTAGCCACCACCGCTATGGAAAAAAAAATTGGACCATTAAAACAGCCGCCACCGTTTGACCCTTCGGCTTACATCTCTAGCTACGACACTACTCAAATAGTATGTTAACTAATGTTAATATATATTAGACATTATTCATCGTAGTAAAAAAAAGCGATTATGTATCCAATATTGGTTCTTTTGTACATTTTTTTCTATGAACGAATTCTATTGTGCCCTGAAGCTTTTTATGTTTTCATCAGTTAATTCACATCTCGAATAATCTAGTTGATTCATTCGTTGTATTTTTTCATAGTAAGATTAATGAATTAAAGTAATATACTTTCTAATTTCTTCATTGTAAGTTACTGTTTGATTCTTTTCTATTAGTTATAGAACTGATTATGCCATTCTTGATTATTAAAACTACAAAAAAATCGTCAAGTTACAACGAAAACAATTTATTCAAAGAGTTTATTTTTAAATTTATTGCAAAGAAAAACTTTAGTTATTAAATCTTCATCTTAAAAGATAGATTGAAAGAGATAGTTCTGTCAAATTCTTTTATTATTCATATTTTACAATTATTCATGAGTCTTAATGATAAAGATTGTACGTTTCAAAGCAACATACAAGCGAAAAATACGAATACAACTAAAGCATTGACGAAAATTTTACTAAAACATCTTCATTCTACTATACTACATAATAGATTATTAGATGGTACATCAGTTTTACTTGATTCTTCATACAATTAAACTGATTTTCAGTAAAATTTTGGTCACATCCTTTGTCGACTAAATGAATCTAAAGTACGGTGATTTGAGTAAACCTTTTAGAATAATGATTATTGACATAGATATCACGTATATATGAGTCTTGTGCTAAAGCATTATGTCATTCTTGAGATTCAAATTTGTCGTGATATATTCAATCTATAGTAGAACAAAATGTCATTAATGGATTCGGCAATAATGCATTCACTTTCAGTAATTGATATTATTATAAATTTATTGTTACGATGAATAGTATATTGGGATTTGATTCCTCGTATTATTCATGACTCGCTTTATACATATATTACATAAGAAAAGGTGTTGACGCTATAAGTCATCGTTTTTAACGATATGAATACCTTCGAGTGTTATGTTATTTAAATGACAAAGTCCTTAGCCGCTTTCAATAGAAGACGAATATCATCGTCGAAATTTGAGAAAACTGAAATCGAAATTATCTCGATTAAAAAGCATTGGTCATTCGTTTAAATCATATACATCGATGCCATTCGAAATAATATCCTATCAGGGTAGTACTATTGAGATTGATAGTCAATGGCATTAGTAATCAGTCGAACTAATATGAAGTCGCATTGATGCACAATCGGACTAGAACTATTGCAATGAAGAACCCATGTTATAGTTTGATCTGCTAATGATTTGACTGATGTACTTCTTATTAGGATTATTTAAATAGTTCTATAAAAAGAACTTATCATTTCTTGTAATTAACTACACATTACTCATTTGATGTGATGATAAAGGAAGTATATGAAGAAAAAAAATATACGCGGACATCATTCGATGACTCAAATATGTACGATGTATTGTGTAGAATCAAAGATTTAAATATACAATTGCCAAATAGTGCGAGATAACATATATTAGGGAAAAAAAAAAGGAATACAAAACTTTGTTTCAATGAAATATGATCTTTTATAAGATAATATTCTATTATAAAATTAAATGGTTATGGATACTGGTAAATTGTTATGTTTATAGTGATATTTCCGAGATTTCCTTTTCCTCTTTGATTACATGTTTTTCAAACCATTATTCATTGAGTTACAAGCTTGAAATAACTATATATTACGCATCAAAATCATTGAATTCATAAATGATTATTTTATTTGATAAATATTTGAATTTAAATTGGATAATTATTTATTTAGAAGAATATACTTATAAGAAAATAATAATGTTCTATTGATACAGACACCATAAAAAAATATTTAATGTACAAATAATATTTTCAAAAAACTACCAGTCGACTTTGATATCGATCTTTAAAAATATTATTAAATGTTTTCTTTAAACACCGGCAAATGTCTTGAAAATCATACTCGATTAATCCACTCGGTCGTTTAATACGTAAATCAAACTTAAATCGATCAAGCGTCAATAAATGCTTCGAAATTATTGTTGAAAGCCAATCATAACACTGAAAGTAACCTATTGTATTCGAATCTACTGATATTGATCGACATATTCTAAACTGTTCGAGATTAGGTACACATGATAAATAATCTTCTAATATACTATCATCCCAAGGCCACTCATCATAATGCATATTGATTATTAACCGTTTAAGACTAGTATGTACTACAATATGCGATTGTATTTTTGATTTTTTTGGTAATTTAAATTTTAGAAAATATAAATTTGGACATGCCAAAAGAATGGATATATATATAGATGAATCAATATCGTTTACTTTTAAAAAACGTAATGATAATGATTGTGTCCATTCACGACTTGTATACGGTGGTGTCATTCGTGATATATAACAATATTTTAAATTTGAAAATGTATTTGAAAAAATTATTGCACGTAAATCAGGCATATAGAATGGACCAACTGTATGTGAAATTGCAAGATATTCTAAATTAGGTAAAATATTATTGTTCAATTGTGATATTAAATCATCTGTTACATAATCCAAAATAAGACGATGTAAATTAGAAAAACAAGTTAGCTTGTTTTCGATTTTAGTATTAATAATTAATGTACAAATAAATGGATATGAAAGAGTATAATTATCATTTTTATCTGTTGAATAAGTAAGATGAGTGAGAGATTGAATTAAATAATTAAAACGAGAGTTTAAATTATAAAAAGATTGAAAAAGATCTCGAGCTTTAATATATTTAAATAATTCAATGATTATTTCATTGGGTAAATTTTCCAATAGAAGCATATTATTAGTCATGTGTACAACTAATCTAGAAATAAAATATTTAGACTTTTGGTTTTAATAAAAAGAAAGTTTGTCATGTCATAGTCACATGTAATCTTGATCAACTGTCGAAAGTCAATTGATTGAAATAAACTTTCTAAAATAATAATTGATTTCATTGGGATGGGATATTTAATTGTTTCAGTTCTCTTGTCATGATAGATTGACTCTTTTTTATTGATATCGTTGTTTCAGTGAGGAAAAGGTCATTCCAGAATCTAAGGTACTATTAAATAAAAAAAGCTTCAGGAATATTTCTACAGATTGGTCATTAAACTAACGTGATTTTTCTGGGAGTATTTATGACTTAAATGTGGATATTCACTTTCATCATTATACAAATCACGAATTCAGAAATAAAATTCGGACTATAAAATACAGTTTTCTTTGTCTTGGCATGTTGGTCAAAATTATTGATCATCATTAACTACTATTTTATTTCATAAACAGGGCTG